ACAAATGTTAATCCGTAATTTTTGAAAACGATTATAATAAATCATGTTGGACGATTATTTTAATCTCAATTTATTCCTTTTATTCATTAATCACAATTTCTAATCATTTAATATTTATTATATATATTTGTATATATATTGGGTTGAACGGAAAGTTTGTTCCGTTTTTTACTAAGAAATAAAGACCGAAAAAACGGCAATATATATATATTGATAATTATAATCGTTGATTATATTACCTCTACTATTTAGCAACCATAAAACAATAATCAATAATTAATACAATCTAATTAGTGCGATCTTAATATTGATCATTCTACGATGCGGCAGTGTATATCTTTAACGCTTCTTACATACGATAGCAATACTCGAATATTTTATGTTGGCAAAATTAATAATTCATGTCGGACGCGAATCGTTTTGAAGAAAACGCGAGAAAAATAAAAAAAAATTAATGCATTCTTAAACTATAAATTATAAACTGAACATACGTTATCGTGATCGAAATTTCAGAAGCGTCGCCCGATCTCCGTTCTTGTCTTTGTTTATATCGTAAATGTTTATTGTACCCGGCTTTATTTGTGTAAGAGACGCGCTCTCGTCGCGACGTACATTCCTTCCCCCACTCTGCCTACCTATCTCTGCTCAAAATTTTTATAAATATTCCGTAACCTTTTCAGTCATAGTCGTGCGCAGGTCATGGTTGGGTCTTGTCTCTCGCGTCTTTCTATCCGCAAAGTGAATTTCGCGTATGAATAAGTATCGGGAGTGAAGAAATTAAACAACGGGCGAATCTCAGCATTCCTATTAATCCGCACAATTGCGATTATACGCGTATTTCAATATTCGTAAACAGCGTCGACTTAATCTATCGGGTTGTCATATATGACAGATTTCGAAAACCTCAGTTTTGCGAAAAGTGAGTAACTTAGTAAACTATTGAATTAGTGAAGTACATTACACACAAAGACACACAATATGCAAGTGAATATATAGTGAAAATATACCAAAAGTGTGGTATATAATTATCTGGAGCAAAGAAAGAATCAGGAACAGAAAGGAATAAAGTGATAATCAAATGCAGATAAAAGGCATGCAATGACGACACATCGATTTTGGTGAGTAAAATCAATTATCGCACATTCACAAATGTTAATCCGTAATTTTTGAAAACGATTATAATAAATCATGTTGGACGATTATTTTAATCTCAATTTATTCCTTTTATTCATTAATCACAATTTCTAATCATTTAATATTTATTATATATATTTGTATATATATTGGGTTGAACGGAAAGTTTGTTCCGTTTTTTACTAAGAAATAAAGACCGAAAAAACGGCAATATATATATATTGATAATTATAATCGTTGATTATATTACCTCTACTATTTAGCAACCATAAAACAATAATCAATAATTAATACAATCTAATTAGTGCGATCTTAATATTGATCATTCTACGATGCGGCAGTGTATATCTTTAACGCTTCTTACATACGATAGCAATACTCGAATATTTTATGTTGGCAAAATTAATAATTCATGTCGGACGCGAATCGTTTTGAAGAAAACGCGAGAAAAATAAAAAAAAATTAATGCATTCTTAAACTATAAATTATAAACTGACACGTATGCGGACAAAAAGTGCGCGTCACAAAATACGATACTATCGCTATCGAAAGCGAATTATATTAATTAATTTAACAAATTACTCTGAACCGAATACTGTTTGAAAAACATTGACAATTTTAATCGATTCGTTGAACTATGCGCTATAATCGACGGTACATCGAGAGTGTCGTGAAAAAAATCTCCGGTCTCTAACGCGTGGTCCTTTCTTTCTTTTGCAGGTAAGTGGGTTGCATATCGTAAAGCTTTCGCATACCGTCGGTAAGTCCTGGCTTTTTCCTCCTTGAAAGCTTCCTTGTTTCATACGTGATACTGTACCGTCGTTCTCTATCGGAAAAGCTTCTCGAGCTTTCACGCCAGTCGGTATATTCGCGAACGCAATCCTTTCGGGTCGTGAACGGGTTACCGACACGCTCGTGTCACCCGGTATATATGTCGGTACCGTGTTACGGTCTCACGCACACAAGACACGCGTGCATTCAGAATCATATACATATTTAGATCTATCCGTCTATGCTTGTCTATCTGTAAATTTGAAACAGCTCTTTGGAAATGTTCATTGTCTCGCGCCTTTTCACTATTTCTTATTAAGCACCACACCAGATGGGTATACGACAATTTCATTCTCTCTATAAGCTCACGCCGATCCCGCGATACGATTATGTATTATGCATATTGTCGATCTGTTAACGTATCGATGAGTTAGACTATGGATCGGTAATGACATTTCATTAAAATTACATATCGCGACCTCGACCTTTAAACAACCTCGATATTCGACCAATGATATTTGACGGAATTGAATAATATTTTTACCTGCTAATTACATCGACGTATTGATAAGTACACAAGTGATAATTATTTGATAATGATGTTAAAATACTTTTTGATGAATATAATATCGTATTTTATTATGTATTACATCACTATCAATCTTATTGTTATTATCATCGTGATCATTATTTTTATCGCTATCATCGTTATCGTCGTTGTTCTCGTCTTTATCATCGTCCTCTAGTCGTTATTATTAATACAATATTTAGAACGAATGCAATCTATTGGTAAATATTGATCGTATATATAAAATTGAGCAAGTAAGTAGTGAACTGCATATGAAATCAGGCTTGCGTCGTCCGCCTAAAACAATGCTATACTACTTTGCTATATAAGTAGAATGATCAAACTATCTTTTATCATACACAGATTTTTGGATAAATCATAATTTCAATTCGCGATAAAAATGGGAATTATTACATACAATCTGCTAATTACAACAAACACATACATAATATATTCATTCTTATATTATTATTAAAAAATAAAATTATTTGAAAGTATAAATTCTTTATATTTTTTTCTTCAGATTGATGTGATTAATTAAAATGTTATGAATAGATTATATAAATGTAAATTTAGTTATTATAATTTTTTTAAATAAATCCTTAAATTATATTAATTTATAAAATATTATTTAGAAAAAAGATAATTGTGTCGATAAGATCAACAATAAGATCGATAATAAATGTACTTAAATGTCGCAGTTAGTACGATAAATGTATTTAAATGTCGCGAATTTGTTGAGAACATATAAAAATTAAAGAGCGAATGAAAACTTGTTAAAAGTGAAATAAAAAAAACACGAGTCAAAGTTTTCAATCTTTTAGCAGTCGCGCGATAATTCAAATAATATTAAATTTATTAACTCTATACTATATTATTATTATTATTATTTTTACGCTAAAGCGATAATTAATGGATACCGTGGTAACTGCGACTAAAAGAGCCACTTGATACAGACACCGGCATTTCAGTAGCCGGCGTCTCTTTATAGTCTTTCAACGCTTTTTACAAAGCGGGAAATGAGCAGGGGAAAAGCACGATAACGAGTGGTTTACGTCGCGAAACGAGACAAAGCAACTATGCAAAGCGAAATGTCAAGAGCGCGATACCTCTCTTCTGTCACGCAGCATGAATTTTCTCAATCGTCGAGTTTCGAGGCTACTACGATCGCGGTGACACCATCCATTCGCGTTGCGAAATGGTTTTGCAAGAACCAACTCTCTCCCGATAGGGATAGGACGAAACTATCGTTCGGAACAATGCAGAAAATCGAAGGGACTCGCGCAAGTAATTTACGTAATGCGTACCGCGATAGCTCGTTTGACACCTGTCGATATTTAACAATGGAAGATTCACAAAAGCCCGTAGAGAGCGACTCCTCGGAACTTTACCTTGCTTTGCCTCGATATAAAGCGCATCGTGCTTTGTTCGGTGTTTTGAATTTTTGTTGAACAATCGTCTCCTTCTCGCGTTCATCATAGTTTTTGTTCTTGTGTCTATTTATTATCTGCGCGACCCATTATTGCACTAGAAGATAAAATTTTTGTTGAACAGAGTTTTATATATAGGCATATGTATATCTGTTTGTTCAAATTTCTGTATAAATTGAAAATAAAAGATTATTTGCATAAAAAATTTAGTTCAGAAAAGCAGAGATGGAAAAATGATTGTGAAAGAACGATTATGATAAAAGGATTTCCATTGCGATTTCATATACAATAGAAATTAGAAAAAATCTTCAAATGTATGAGAAATTGTAAAAAGAAAGAAGGGAAAATAAAAAAGCTAATAATAAATAAATATTCAAATATCAGGAGGAATGTCTTCTTATTATTAAAATACATCGAGCAGATGTCGAGATAAAAATCAAAGTTTGAAAAAAAGGATGTATTTAATTATATTGCATATAAGAAAAAATAGTAATATAAATAATTTCTCTTACTTTCAGAAGAAAATTAAAAGAAAAGCTTTATATAAATATGTCCAATTATATAATGATTTTATTTTACAATATTTTTACGGGGTTTCACGTGAAAGAAAAAATTAAAAAAAAAAGATCTTGCACATTCTAATATACATGATTTAAAATATATTTTCGTTGTATAACTAAAATGTTATTAATATTTTCATCTCAATATTTATATTACTATTTTGCACACGCACGTAGATACTAAGCGTAGCACCGAGAAATTAGAAAACTGGACTTTAATGCAAACCTCGGGGACCGCGAGGAAAAGTTTTAGCAGGGGATAAAAATGCGGGATTCCTCCCTTTGTCGAGCACCGAAATGAAAGGATATGCCGAAGGAAGTAGCGGAAGACGAAGGGAGGAAAGGATCATCGTGTGCCCGTGGGCGCGGGGTGTGCGGGACGAGGGTGCGGGTGCGGGTGCGTGGACCTGCGCGTGAGCGACCGCCTGGAATTCGCAGCATTGGCTGCGCGAGGGCGCGTGGCGGATCGAGGGTGTCAGTCACAGGCCATCTGCCCAGCAACGAGCACGTAAGTGTTGGCAGAATCGCACGGTAATTCGGCCTGGTCTCTCTCCATCATCGGTCCCGTGAAAATGACTCGCCGCGATCGCGCATCTCTCGACTCGCCTCGAGACGGGACCGATTAATTATTTTACGGGCCCGAAGGGACCCTCGCTTTTCGCGACGCGAAAAATTTCACCGGCGGTTTCTGTGATTTCCTCAAAAATGGCGGGTACCGCTATGCACAAGTTACATTGCGCGCCGATCCCGTTGGTCCCAAGAACGAGAGAACGATTCGCGAAGCATCGCGAGTGCTTTTACTGTATAGTCGATGTAGCTCGTTTCCGCCGGACGAGCCGATCATTGCGATATTTTCGTCGAGTGGTCAGTGAGTTGTCTCGTGAGGAGCCTCCTTTTCTCTGTCTTTTCTGACACATTCGATGCTCTTTCTCCTTTAATATGCTTGCGCTACTGTGCATCTTTTCGCTCAGATTGTTCCTGGGAATGGATATTTCAGATAACGTATAGATAATTTTCGAGCGAGAACTTTTTCATACATACTTTGCTATTTCAGACGGCACCGTTCTTTCTATCGATGATTTCTGAATACTATACTCGCGAATTTCCTTTTCGATTGTCTTAACGTAAAGAATTAATCTTGATTGTTGAAAATCAAGCAGCTAGAATGCATCTTTCTTTGAGAAAATACATTTTGTTATTAATTAAATGTATTCTGAAATTATACACTTTGTGTAATATTTTTAGCAGAATCTATTAAAATCTAGTAAAATGCTATTCACGTAATACAAATGCATAATTCTGCATTTATTTATTTTAGCGGATTATATAATGTTTTTTGATAACATGTAAATTTCGCGATAGAAATATTTTGCAAGTGAAAAAGCCTTTAGGACACTCATTACAGCCGATGTTATTGCTCATATCAAGTACGATACTTAAAATATAATGCCGTTGCGATTTGCCATGCATAAACAAGACACACCCGCAGAATTTGCATTTGTACGATGCAACGTGGAATAGTGACCGGCTCATAAAATATAGACGAGTTTACTTTAATGTTTTCATATGGGACTTTTACGAGAGAAATTCGATTCTCCTACAACGTGCACGTACAGCTAAATTTTCAATTTTTAAGAGAGAAACAATTTTACGTGAAAATATTAAATTAAAGATGAAAAAAATATATGTATTAAGCACACAAATGATAAGAAATACAATTTTTTAATCAGAATTTTTTTTGTGTTATATTATTTCTATTATATTATTTTTTTTGTATTATATTATTTCTATTTTATCGTACATATTATATATATAATTAAACTTTTTAATTCTCCAATAAACGATTTTCATTTTATTCTGGATATAAGATAATCGATAAGAAGATATGGCATACGATATACCTACATCAAATTATTTCTTACGCAAGATCATATAATTTCTATTGAAAAAGAAACGTATATTTTAATATTATTAAAATTTGTGTGTTTCACGCTTTAAATTCGTCTTAAAAATATTGCCAGTATAACGAGATATTTTTCAAAGCGAGCTTTGAAGAATTTAACAAGCAAAAGCTCTGATTTGCGCTTTTTCGTTCATTTAAGAGCAAGGGCGATATTAATAAATTGGAACGTTTCCCAGCATAAACTTTATAGATATTAATATCACAAAAATGAAAAGTGGTTACATTATCGTAATTGGAACTTGCTATATTATATTGCAAATATTCACAAGCATTATCGCGTAAAGTATAAACATAAAAATCATAAAAATCTCTAAGGGCTAACGCGAAATATGAGACTTTCAAAGCGGCTTTTAAATTTTCATGTCGATAAAGAGCGTCCAATGGAATTACATTGCATATATGTCGCATGCGGCAACGGTAATTGCTTAAATTATACGCAACTGTATTTCGCGGGAAAATTTTAGAGATAAATGGGAAATAACGAGAGATTCCACTATTATCATGTGTTATTATAATTATTAAATTATTCGGCAAACAAAAAACAGATTCTTTGATATGAGATTAATTAAATTTTTCAAAATATTGTGTAAATTTTCGATAAAATCAGAATAATGAGAATTTTATTATTAAAAAAAAGAATAAAGAGATTATATATAAATAATTATATAATAATTTTCATTATACATAATAATTTTCAATTATATATTGCAATCAAATATTCTGATGATAATTTTTAATTAGTTACATATATGGTATCATATTTTTGTCCTTACAATTTAAAATATCTTTTTTCTTTAATTGTTTATTCAAAAATTATTATACTTTATAATTGAGAGTTATTGAATAAAAATTCTGTTTGATATCGACGAACAGTTTATAAGTGATTGAACACGCCTTTGCATTTTTTGTAATGTATTGATCTCGTCGAGATTTCGTTATTCTCTTTTGTTTTTTAACAGAATATACCATTTTTTATTTGCGTGTCTCGATAACTGATATATCATTTTTTGTTTGTCTCATTCTTTTATATTTTTTTGCAATTCATTGATGCCGTTGAAATTCCATTGTTCTCTTTTGTTTTTTAATTGATATATGATATTTTGCTTGTGTGTGTCGATAATAATATCACTCTGAACACTACTATCACGGGAGTAATTCGACGTGAACGTGATAATACGAATATTGTTTCAATTCAATGAATCAACATGTAACACTCGACGTTGGCGTGAAATAAATGATACATTTTCCACCGTTTTCCATCCGTCGCGCGAATAAATGGCGAAATAATGACCGGGGAAAAAAGCCGCGCGTTGACAGATATCGTTTCACAAAGGGCAAATAAAAGCATAGAATTTCTGCGCTTTCTGGAAACTAACTGAAACGATAAATGGTAAAATTTTGCTTTCTGGATCGCAGGTTCGAAGCCCGTAATTTCATTCAATATTCGATCGATCTCGCAAATACTCGCATATATTTGTGGAAAGCTTATCAGTGTTTTACACGAGCTGTGTGGAAAAAGAGATACCGCAGATTTACTTGAAAATACTTGGAATTCTTGTTAAACGAGATACGAAAATAATATTTCGAATTTAACAAAAGTTAATACCTATTCATTAATGAATATTTTCATTTAAATGACGATTGATATTAAAAATATCAGTTTATTTTATTTTTTTGTCAGTTGATAATTAATATTAATATAATATTTAATACATATGCAGAAACGGATAGTACACGCACACACGTTTAAAAAAATTTAACTTGATTTCTGAATTACATTAATTTTTTGCAATTTTTCAAAATATTTTCTATATCGAATTATTGTATCACATACGCATATCACACATACCCGTTATTTCTACTTATTTGCATCGTGACATAACAAAATTTAACAAATTTAATTAATCCACGTGCTTTCAAAATTTAAATTCGGAATAAAAGAATATTTTGATGATAATATTATAGTGTAATTACATTATAATTATAAGCGCAAGTGAACGGTCAATGGCAGAAACGTTTTGCGGCCAACTCTTGTGCAGTTCGATATTGTAAGTAGGACGTGAACCTGGATAATTGTGCGCGCGCATTCGTGTGCGTTATACACATACATACACATATTTTCGTACATTTGAACGCGACTCTTCATTTCCGTACATTCGGTCATCGCGTGAAAGGCGGGACGTCGCGTTTCTAATCATGGTGTTGAATTACAATCAGAAACCGCCGGATGCACGTCTAACAACAAATGTCAAGATAGCTTATTAGCGGCAACAGGTGTAAATCTAACATGTAGTAAATTTCCGGTGTGTATGTGTATGCTATCTGTCTGTCCATTGGGAGAAAGGTTTATTTGTCCGAGGCTATATTATTGATAAATTCTCGTCAAAAATTTTCCGTTTATCAATCTTTGGCAATATTTTGGCAATGTATTGTCAATTTCTTCTATTTATAAAATAAATAATGTTTATAATAGCTGTTATCAACTTTTATTAAATGAGTAATTACGCAGTTGATTAATTAAAAAATGACAAAAAGATTACATTATTTATTATATATATTATATAAATCAGTTTTCATGTGTGTATAAAATTTTGTTTTGACGACATAGAAAGATACAAATATTCGCCGAAAAATATGCATCAAATATCGCGGTGTCTAATGCCCTGGGGCAAGGACAGATGCAGCCTATAGAAGGTTAGGTTTAGATATAGAGGTCGGAGGTCAGAGATCGGAGGTCGGAGGACGCGGAATGATGGTCGGAGGACGTTGAGGGAGGTAGGGGGAGGGTGAAGTGGGAAGAAGGGAGCTGCAGCCTGGGAATGATCAATACTACTCGTATACGCCAAGTTCTCCCGCGAGAGTACCGAAGATGAGTGGAAGAGCACGAGAAATTGAACGTTTTCGATTTGGAAGAGTGATAATAAAGCTCTCTCTCTCGCAACAGGGGAAGACGTATAAAACGATTCCTCGTCCATCTGCGTTTAGTATCGGTATTCTTGTATCGTGTTACATTCTCGGTGGGATCTTTTTAGAATCGCTTGGTAGCATTTTTATCTTTTTTTTTTTTTTTCTTTACCGTATAATAGCCAGAATACCATTTAGGAAAATTTATATACATATACGTGCGTATCATGGAAATTGGCGGAATTCAATTATGTTTGAAGTTCCGGTTTCCACGAACCCGCATGCATCAGAACGCGGATACGCAATTTCAGCTTGTTACTCTGCTCTCTGTTTCTCTGAATTTTATCTCGACATATCCATCCATCATCTCCTGTTTCGCTAGCTTTAAACTGTGAAACCTTGTTATAACAAGCTTTATCTTTTAAATTTAATTTTTAATTTAACTTTATTTTATTACAAAAATTTCGTTTGATTGATATCTTGCGCGAGATTTTGCTTTCGACTAAGTTTTATTAATAAAAATTTGAAATATAAAATAACAAAATATTATTAAGAAATATATTCCGTTTTCTATTATCGCTAATTATATTATACAATTCAAAGAAAATTCCAGGGGAAAAGAGTTTTTAAATTTCAAGAACTCCCGTAAGAGAAAAAGGGAGAGATAAAAACCAATGCATGTAAATGAGGAAAGAATGCATAGGTAAACTGAATTATTAATGAGTAAATTAACCAAGCAAAATCAAGTTTGAAAGAAAGTTTTAATTTTTTTGCAGCATTTAATAGCCGAGAAACAGGAGTATTTAAAAGATTTATGTTTTCTCATGTTTTTCTGCTATTTTGTAAATTGTTCTCAAGGAAATATTGCGCATCCTTCTTTTATTAAAAAAAAAAAACTTTCGAAGTTTCCCAGTTTTTTTCCTCCTTTTATTGTAAAAGCCATCCAAGTAACAATCAAGCGGAGACCATCATAATATCGTGTGAGGCGTCTGATAAAATAATTAAAGGATACATTAAAATAATTAAAAAATTGTACGAAGCGCACGTGGGCTCTCAAGATTTTGAACGTGTCGCTCTTTTTCTATTTGTCGATCTATACGGCAAACTCCAACAAACAACAAAGCTCCTAGTGGAGTAATCATTTTGCAATTGTATTGTACGAATGCGGAATTTCGTGGTATATGCGTTAAAATATTGGCAATGCACGTGTGACGTAAACAGAATATTTTATATCCTTCGGAAAAAGATACAATCTTGTCTTTTGATGTGTCAAGGTTGAATCGAATTTTATTTTCCATATTTTACTTCCTTTAATCTCCGCTCAATTTTTGCAAATTTTTGTGCTGTACCCATTTTAAAACTTTAATTTTCAAACGTCTATATACGTTTCAGCTTTTGAATTCTGATATATGTACATTAAGAAGGAAGCACGAAAGATCAAGTAGAAAGATGAATCATCGAAGATTACCTCTATCCTAGTCTCGTATTAAAAATACAATACCCTTTAAATACTCCTTCCGCTCTCATTGACTTATCGACTTTTGGTCGACTCATCTACGGGAAACGAGCTGTCGCTAACGCGATCGATCATGCGAGTCTCGCGATAAATGTATAGAACGTAAATCTTCGCGAAAACGAGGCCACGAAACACCATTCTCCTTTCTCTCTTTCTTTCTAGATCGATGATCGTAATTAGAATAGCCTAATTCGAGGCAGAGGAACATCGTCGCTCGCGAGCGCTAATCGCCGGCGAGGATTGATAAAGGCACCTTGGAATCATCCTGTGCAAACTCGCGAGAGCGGTGTGTACGGCAACGGCACTGTGTGTGTGTATAATAAAGGGGCGCGTAATCACACTACGTCACGGCGGGGCAAATGTTCCCGACGAGCTTTCGCGAGATCCCGCCACCGAGCAGCAAACCCGAAAAGAACCGTCGCCGGCAGGAACGTGACGACACCTCGGCATCCTCGCCGGTCCGTTTCCGGTACGGATACCGGTCGGGCGGTCGCCGTCGCGATGAAGTGAGCAATCTGTCGTCGGATTCGTCAACTTTCGTGACGATGTATCGCGATTATTGGCTGTGCTCACATCTAAACGCTTAAGAAGAAAAAAAAAAAAAAAAAAAGAAACGTGTAAACGACAGTGTTCAACGACGCGCATTCTGCTTCGATCAATTTCTTCGTTTCGACGAGAGACACCGGAAACTGAAATTGACAGAGAGAGAGAGAGAGAGAGAGAGAGAATAACGTTAAAGGGAATAGATCGGGGTCGACAGACAAGGCTGCGACAACGAGACGGCTACGAGAACGAGAACGAGGATAACGACGACGATGACGATACGATAGGCGGTTAGTTAAACGACAATGATAAGGGTCGCGATAGAACAAATAGTGCAATTGCGACATATATAGCACGTTGGTAGTTTCCGTATATAAATTATCCCCCATATATATAGAAATATATATAGCGCACAAATATATACATACGAAGCAAACATTTGTAAATATCGCGATACGCATACATAATTATAAATAAGCTCACTCGCACGGGCGTGTCGATTGACAAGCAATAGCAGCAATAAAGGGAACATTGTTATCTCGTGTTATACACTGTCGGTCCAGTGATTCCTGTTACACTGTGTTCGAAAGAGCTCGTTAATTGTTAAACCGCTCGACGAGTTATTCACTTATTTCACACGAGGACCGCGTGGAAAAGAGTACATCGACGACAAGATGGCGTTCGCCGCGGCGAGGATGATCCTCAAGGACAAGCGCAGGAAAGCCAGCAAGGAAGACTTCGCACCGCGAAACCGGAGCAAGGTAAAAATCGCACAAGATTATGCACGTCAAAATGAATTCTGTCATCATTCACGTGTCGCGCTCCTCCAATCGCGACCTGAAATTTATCACGATTTTGCGATTTATGCGCCGAGGAAAGTTTTAATCGAATTTTTAATAATTTTTATCACTTAACTTAGATATCGAAAATCGATTCAAAATTGATATCACAATCTGATTCTTAATTTAGAAATTTTGTCGCCCCTTAAAAGTTACTTTTTTTTATTTTAAAGAAAATATAAATAGCTTGGATTATTTATGAAAAGAGAGAAAAAGGGAGAGCGCAAACGATATCATTGGCAAGCATCTATACGCTCAAATTGAAATAATATTAACACGAGCATCTCTATCGTGAGTCGTTAGGCTGGAATTATATGCTCGAGTTACGATGACAGCTCCCCTTGAAACGATACGTGAGGAGAAACAACATCAGTGAATGCATAATAACGCCAGCTGGGTGGCTGATATCGCACGCGGATCACGCGAGACGGTAAAGTAAACGAGTCGGCTCGTTTTTATAGGGCAATTAATTTCGCGCAACGATAGGCATGAGATATAGACAGTGAAACTTATCGCAGACGTACTTTATTAAACGTTTAAACGGGACTTCTTATATGACAGAATAACACGCGCTGAATTAATTGAGAATATGTCGCGCACATATTTTCTGATTAAAAGCCACGGTACTATACGATACAATGAATATAATAAATGCAATCTTTAATCGCTTGGAAAAATTACACACAGTTTTAATAATACGTTAAGCCACCGTGCATAAAAAGGAGTTATTCCGCGATTTCTCTTACGTAAAGTATTTTTAATTGCTACAAATTATGGTCGGGAAAGATAGAGTGTGTATAACGCTTAATATCATTTTTTTTAAATACATTATTATTAGAAAAATGATATTATTTGGAATAAATAAGAATTACTTTACACATTTATATTTACAATTCAATTAGTGGTAGATTAAACTCTTGCGTTGAAGAAACAAAAATTTACATGACATACTTTAAGATACGCAATTATAATAACGCTCGTTCTTTGCAAGAATTTTGAGAAAATTTTTTATTTATAACAAAAATATATTATTAAGAATGCAACAAGAAAAAAATTAGTTAAAATATTTGAATGTCACACGAATTCTATAAAGCAACTATAAACGCAGTTGCAAATAACATAGATATTCGTAGATTATAATTTTAATAAGTTGATGCTTTTTTTATAACGATCGATATCATCGGAAAATCTCGACAGAGGAAACCGAAATATAAAAAATAAAACGTGCTCCAATTCTTCGTCTTTACACGAGATATGTATATCGATAACCTTGCGCTGTCCGCATGAACTTATTACAAGTTAATTGATTGAGAAGAAAAAATTAAGCATATAAAAATATGCGTGACTCATATTTTGCACGTATACGCATAATTAATAACACGTGCGCGGCAATAAAGAAGAAGTTTTCAAACGACCGATAATACAACGATATCGACTAAAGTTTTACACATACAGATATATACACGCACTCACGCTATTTCAAAAGTTCATCAAAATTGCATAACTTGTTGTGCCAACATTTGAGACGTTTTTCCGATACGTGCTCGCTCGCGTTTCCATTATATTTCATGCATCCGCACATTATTGCCGAAAATATTTCCGAGATTTAATATTTTATTTCTCAATATATCCAATCTATGTGTTATTTTGATAAATATTTTTATATTTTTTTTTTGCTCTCTTTTTATTTTCAATTTGCTATAATATATAAATGAGTATTTGAAAAATAATTCCTGATTACATTTTAAATTTATCTTGTTCAATTGTAAAAATAAATATGTATTAATCTTAATTATAATGAGCTTTTATATGATTTCAACCTTATGAAAAAATCATAATTAATTCATGAATAGAAAAAAACAATTTGATTATCGCGAGCTAACGTAAACATTAAACTTAGCAGTTATGTATTTCAATTTAAACAAAATTCTCTCTCGATTCTACAATTCATGAATTCAATCAAATAAAATTGATTGACATAATTTCATGGTTTGATATTGAGAAAAACGAGAATTGAGGGATCATTAAATGAATGCGGTAAGCATTCGAGTTGAGTTTTCCCTCGTTTAAGACCGTGACAAAATAACACCGTTGTGGAGCGAACGTAAAGTAGGTCCCGCGTTAACAAGTAGTAGTCGATTCTGATTTAACACGTGACGTAAACGGCCAGGCCGGGTGTGTCAGAAAGTTAACAGTTTTCGCCGAAACAACAAAAGTGAGGTCCGATCGATGCATTACATTTCGCTCGGTAAACCCGTCACGACTTGCCGACGTGACAGCTTTCCGATTTCACGGTCGCTCTTTTCCCCTTATAGATAGATAGATAGAGACTGCGCGGGAGAGAGAACGTCTAATCTCGTCAATTAAGTCGAGCGTTACTTTAAAAGGAACTCTGTCCGATGACAGTTAACACGAGAAATCTTTGCGCGATGTTTCGCGGATGTAATTACATACATGCATGTTGCATCAAAAGAAATATTGATGAATAAAATTTAATTCTTAGATTATAAAGTTTTTATTCATGTCGCGACATTTTTTTTATTATACATTAAATTCGTTATTCGAATTTCTCATGTGATTTAGAAACAGATTTAATATATTATTTTTGGGTTAAATATATTTGCGACGTCAGGCGAGCTAAATAGCAAGCCGTGTGGGAAAGGAGATAGTCTGATCAAATTATTATTACACGTGATCTGTTGGCAATTTGACAATTCGGTGCCTCGACTTAACATGACATTAAATCGAGGTCTCTTGGTAAACATCGTTGTTTATGTAAAACAAGTAATCACACGCTAGTAACTCACACTATGCTCTCAATGCGCGACAGTTTTAATGCACTACATATTTGATGATATGTGAATTAATCGTTGATAAAAACCGATATATGCTTTTTTTTGTTAAATGTAAAAAGTCTTTAAACGCGTCCACAACATTTCCATCAATTTTATTTTGATATAACGGGTTTTAGAAACAGTTTATAGAGAGTGCTATTTTTACTGACATAATTTCTTAATATTCTTTTTCTTTTTTTTTTATTTTTTAATATTTTATTCCATTGTGTTTGACAATTTTAATGCCATTGTGTCAAAGAAGTTCGTCGGTATCAGTTGCAGATCAGTTTGAACTTTACCATTCTCTTCTAGTTTGAAATAGATTTTTTGCCACATTAACGTATATAAGAATTTCTTTGCAGCCCACGCGTCGCATATCAAGCGTAACTTTTATATTCTGACATTTACGAAATGCATTATCACTTGTGTTCCTTCTTATGAATCGCACTTGCACACCGTCAAACCAACACATCGTGTCTATGGTATCGTCTCGGTGTGTTCTTTTATATACGATATCTTTATCTATACTCTTTCTCCCCCAACTACAGTGGCGTGGTAATTGGTGACCTATACTGTACTTGTGTTTGCAGGCTCGCAGCGCCAGTACAAGTAGCTTTAGAAGCCTGAGCCAGGTACATACCAAGATAATAATTCAGATCTATATACACATATATATATATATATATATAGTTGAGAGATTAGTTTACTAGCTACTTAGCTAGATATCTAGTGAATTATTTATGATTCATTCGCTCATTTTTTTAGAAACATAGATACCATCGCTCCACACATACACATGTGCGTAGAGGCGTAGAGCACGCGCATTTCGCTAAAACGTTGGGCGTAAATTTGCAAATTATTTCATCTAGAATATCTATGGTCCATTATTCTTGGTAGCCGTAATTGGATTACGACGTCAAACGAGAAATTGTACCAATCCTTTTCCTTGTCTGTGTCTTATTCGCAGACGTGTTGCGCGAACAAAAAGCTTTGCACGATTTCTCTCACTTTCCGACATGTCGTAATCGGACGTGGCTGCAATATGTGAAGAGAGTACCTTAAATAATCCCTTTCGCAAAGTCGATTTTTGCTGCAACAAAATAACAACGATACGTGACGGCGCCGGTTATCTTCTACTATCGCTCGCGTACATTCCACGCGAATCTCGGATTTAGGTCCCGCGATCACGTACCTCCCCACGAACGAGACGCTTGTGACATGTCATCCTTCGTGGCGTGTTCCCGATAATGTTTACTTAGAATGACATAATCGACTCGAGCATAATCTTGATAGCATGCATGCTAACTATATCGCTTAACGGCGACACAACACTGGTCATTAATTGAACGGTTGAGAATAAAAGTAGAGAGTAACCGCATGGCACGCACATTTCCTTCTGGAACTTTTGCTGATAACAAAACTGCTAACGCGCGTAGAAATGCATGCCTCGTATTCTTACGTAGCATTCTTTCTTGTCGTCTTGTTTTCTCTTTCCGCAAAGTTTTCGCAGAAAGTAAGAGAGAACGGAATTGTGTAGTAAGTATATCACGCGCGAAAGTGCCAGGTTGAAATAGACTACTGTAATTATACCAGAAATGTCTCGCGGGGAGGGGGAAAAAAAGGAGAAAGAAAGCTTGTCGGAAAATTTATGCCGCCTTTGTTGAGGCGTGCGATGACACGAATATGTCGAGAAGCCACCCGCTAATGAGCGCGTTTATGCGACTCGGCCTTGTTAAAACCGCGACATTTTTTCAAGCACATATATTCGTGCTTTACCATTCTAATTATTCACCCTTTTTATCTCAATCTCCGCTTTTACCTCGCGCTAACGTTTTACTGCGCGCGCTTGACACGCTACGACTGTAATATTGCAGCATTTTTTTTATATACGCAGTTACCTAAAACAATGTTCGTAATTGAGACGCTACTTTTCAAATAAATAAAGAACGGCATATTTCAGAAGGGAAAATTATAAATCGACTTATTTTTATCCATCGTAAAAATAATATTTCAAGAAAATACATGACTTACAATCGTTTCTGCATCAAGTCTTCAGTTAATGAACTAGTCGAATACTGAAGATAATGTTGAAAAGATTTTTATCCCATGTTACTCGTGCTTACTTCAAATATTTTGTTGCTTGAATCTAATATATTTTATATTGTTATAAAAAAAATTTTAATGTTTCTTTTTAGGATTGAAAAAGATAAATCTTTTACATTGAAAAACACACAATATGTGCGAAAATAAATAGGACATAACGAGCGATGCTAAATCGCTAATACTGACTATGAAATAATGGCGATCATTCGCTTAATTACATCTATTGTTATCGCGAATGGTTCACATTAGCTTAAAATTTAACAGCGCAAAGTTTTGCGCGGATACTTCCATTTGCAATCCGTAAATAGCGTAGGTCAAAGATTGTTTTTCGAAGGGATGAATACGTGGCGAAAATCGTTACTCGCTTTTTGCAAGTTCGAACATAAATTACTCTTGTACTTATAAAGTGCATTTATGAAAGCAAAATGAGAATAGTGCGGAATAAAGAAGAAATCTTCGGGATTAAAATACTGTAAAATTTAATACAGGATTCTCTGCTGTAGTAACTATTTAAAATATCGTGCCCGTTTAATAACTTTTTTTTACGTGAATTAATTTTTAATAAATGAATTAATTTTTATTAAATTGCTTTTCTTTTTAATTTGAAAAATCTTTGTAGCTATTACAACGAGAGTAAATCGAGATTATCCGGAAAGTAATCATGTTCAGCCTTACGGATCAAATCTATGCTTTGAAATCAGATCCGTCTCATTATAGAGATAGGTATCTCGCAAGAGATCTTGATTGCAATTAGGGATTTAAAAAGCATACTCTCGCGACTGACGCATAAATCTGACGCACCCTTAGCACCCTTTGCCAACGAGAATTAATACGTCCATTAATGGCGACAAACGAGAGATTGTCACGAAATGATTCTTGAGATATTACAGACGAATTTGTTTAGGTATGGTCTAAAATCGAAAATGAGATCTAGATCGATGTCTTTGACCGCGGTGCCCTCATCGGCCACACTGAAGCGCGGCTATATTATTTAATTATTAATCAGTCGGTTCTAGATCTTGCACGGGAGGGGGAGGGAAGTCAATGACACGCTTCAAGGACGCATTGGTCTTCCTAGACGTATAATATACGATTGTTTCTACATGCGACAAATTGGGCGAAGAATGAGTATCGTACACGTTCTGTGATACTTGTAATCCGATTATTCATCTTGGTCTGAAATCACGATTTACGCTCGTAAATCTTGTCACGCAGGAGACTTTTTTCGATCGAGAAAATCTGGGCCATCGGTGAAATTTCAAAGACTCACAGTTTAGTGTAATTTCTTTCTGATTGACTTCAAACGGGTAAAAAGATCGTATAAAATTCGTTTTTATTTCATCGTAATAATTATTTGTTGCAATTTATTTTAATTGATTTTTATTATTAAAAATGAATGTTTATTATTGTTATCATCAAAATTTATTGTTTAAAATTTATAAAAAAAGATAGTTGCACACATTGCAAAAACATTATACATTGAATATTCAAGAGCTTAATAATTGAGCATATAAAGAGATAAATGGAAATTATACGCGATTGCTCTTGTATAACAACAATGCCGTTGTTTCTATTCGGTTTATGATGCTCCAGTGTCTCGCAAAGCATAGTCTTTCAAGGGCGGCCGCAATCATTTCCAATTATTGATCTTTTGAAAGAGGTTTCCGGGTCTCGCTCGCAAACACTCCGGGCAAAACTTGAGTGGGTGAAATGGCCGAGACGGAAATAACGCAGTACAATGCTTGTATATGAGACCATGAAGCCAAAAAGTGACAAAATTAAACCAAAAAGAGTTTGATTGGACAGAGTGTATAGGATCATTCATGTGAATATTTGTGGATCTTCTCATCTGTTTTATCAAACTAATTGAGAGAAAAATTCAATATATATTTATTTAATATATATTATAATATATATTTAAAATTTTTAAATATTTTCACGCTTAATTGAATTCATCGTAAAAATCGTCAAATATTGTCTTTATATTGAATTGTACAAAAACATGTAGTTGAGTATTAATTATTGAATATTGACACGAGTTGAGTGTCAGTTATTGGCAATGTGTGCAAATTTTTTTTTTTTTTTAGATAAAAAAGAAAAAAGAGACAAATTAAAAATTTTTTTTACCGATATAAATCAACTTTACCAATACATGTGAATGCATAAAAAAGGTCAAGATTGTCACGAATGAAACTAATAACTAGGTCGTCAACAAATTGAGTTAATTTTTGTGATCTATTTATAACTAAATAAAAATAATTTAATGCATTCTTTTATCTATTTGTGCCAATACAATTACGTTCGATCATCATTTCATAGCTTAATCATTTCATAACGATATTCTGCAATAGCAAACATATATTTTATTTTGAATGCATATCCTGCAGTTTTTATGCATGGAAAGATTATACCCATACTTTCTTTCAAAAATACCTTAATAGTAAATATCACACACACACACACACACACACACACACACACACACACACACACACACACACACACACACACACACACACACACACACACACACACACACACACACACACACACACACACACACACACACACACACACACACACACACACACACACACACACACACACACACACACACACACACACACACACACACACACACACACACAAGACACCAATAACTTAAAAAATATATTCAGCTATGGACAAGATAAACTATGTATCTCTCATGATATTACAAGTATATTTTGCGTACTCGTCTCTGCGGTATTGTTGTCACTCTTTTCGAGAAAATGATAATACAATACAGTGAGAGAGATAAAGTCAGCCGCATTGTCGCGCGAAAGAATAAAAATGGTATACATATCATATATCACGTTACCTAAAAAGGCAACGATCTAGATAAAGTTCCACTGTGTGCAGCATGCGAATTCGCTTTATGCAATCCTTCACTGGTTCTCTTAAAAAAAAAAAAAAAAAAAGGAAAGCTTTTAGCTATATCCCGTGGTGATATGATAG